CCCATGTCCATGCAGAATGGGATCAAGTGTCACCCTCCTCAAATTTGCCAGCAATCCCTCAAAGGGATACAACTCACAGTTTGAGGACCAGAAGCAAGAACATATACAAAAATTGCAGGAGTATTAGTTTATGAAGTATGCTTAGGAAAGCGTTTGGTAAAATTGTGTTTGAAAAGGTATAATAGGTGACAATGTGCAAGTTTGGGAAGTGGAGTGAGGCTTTATGCCAGGCAACAAATGTGCAGACTCTATTTTTGTTGTTCAGCTAATCATAGATAAATAATGTGTGAAAGAAAGTTTATTCTACATTTGTCAGTTTGGAGAAAGACTATGATAAAGTATGTAGACATAAATATGGCCTGTACAAATATGGAGTTGAAGATGGGGTGCTATCTGTGGTAAATGGAAATATAGCATATAAATGGAATGTTTACTGAATAGATCAATACTAAGCAGGAAGTAAAACTTGGATGTTTGTCACTCTTTGGTTATTGAACGGATTTATGGATGATTGTTTAAGAAATGCTTAGCATGTCATTAGAGATGCCGTGGTTGGGGATGTGAAGCTATGTGTATTTTTGGATGCAGATGATACGGTATAGTTGGCTGAGAATTCAAATGATTTGCAGTGAATGGTTAAGTAGATTGTACGATGCGTCAAAGAATACGGATCTGAAAATTAATATATCAAATAACAAGGAAACTATGTTGACAGGAAAGTGGAATGATTTGCAAATTACAGATAAAGGCCAATACATTAAGTAGATGACTTTGTGTAACTAGATAGAATATTTATTAAATATGGGGAAATAGACAGAGAAAGTTTATGACTTGCAAATACTAGTTAAAATGTAGCAGTATGGAGTCTGTTGCAAGAAATGAATGTATTTATATTTACATCAAATATAGACCAGCACCCATCTCACCAACTCAGTACAGTGTATAATTAAAAATATAAAAATCCTGTAAAAATATTATATTTCAATAGGAGGAAGTTAAAACAAGAATAGAATAATTAAAATTAAAAAGGCAAGAGGAGGGCCTTCAAAGTGCTAACTAACCCCAAGGTTGCATTATACTGAAAGAAGCAAAAATGGGCTACTTCTAAGAACTTGCTTCTGCCCATTTTACGTAAGGGAGTAGGGTATCTTAGAAAAACATACATGTAAATTGATTGCAGGGGAAATGGATACTGAAGACATTGTATGTATGGAAAAAGGAGATAGACTCAAGAATTCCAGTGAGTATGGAATACAATTGAGTGACTACACTTGGTGTGACAGATAGAATGAATGAAGAGCAGAGGTATTTATGAATGACAAGTGAATGGGTACAGAGGAAGGTTGAGAAAGTCATAATTGGGTAGAGCTGAGATCCTATAAAAGGAAGAGCTTAAAATTTTAAAGTAAAAAAATCAACATATGAATTGGCAAATGGATATATCTGTTCACTCAGTCCAGAGTACATACAAAAAAATGGTGATATGAAGTAAGAAGCAGCTGCTATATAAGCCTAAATGCTATTGCTATTGCTATTGCTTGTTCATTCACGCCCAACCAGCTGGCAAGGAAGCAGTAGAGCTCAGGGCTAGAAGTAGACAAAAAAAATCTGATGGCTATTGCTGACAAAGATGGCAGAGCCCTTGGGAGGTTGCTTGCCCAAAGGCCTCCCCCAAACCTGGAACTGACTATTTCATATAGGAATTCCCTGGTGTGCAAAAAAAACCCAACACCCTGTAGGATGGAACATACACTGTGTCATTCGACGGTCCTCAGAGCTCTCAATGCGCCGCCCATTGTGGAACCAGGTAATGGCTGGATAAGGAAGGCCAGCCACTTGACACTCTAGCCCAGCTTCTTTAGATTCCACCACATCCAGATCATGCAGGGGTCGCAAGAAGTCCGGCATGGTGAAGCGTTCCACTTCACTCTCCCCTTGTTCTGGTTCTTCAGGGATCGATGGCATCTTCTCCAGCTTGGAACTGTGAGAGAAAGGAAGAAGGGAAATCCCTCAAATGCATCAACCAATCCAGCTACTAGGTTGCTTGCATATGTATCTTATTTATCTGCCACTTAGATATAAATAAAAACTTTTCAATGGTAAGATCTCTACAGCAATGGTACAGTCTACCTATGGAGGAAATGGTTCTCCATTCTGGGAGGCTTTGAAGAAGAGGCTGGATGGCCACCTCTTATGGATATTTTGAATAGTTCCTTGCACATTGTAGAACAGGGGTAGTCAACCTTGGCTCTTTTATGACTCGTGGACTTCAATTCCCAGAATTCCTGAGCCAGCTTAGCTGGCTCAGGAATTCTGGGAGTTGAAGTCCACGAGTCATAAAAGAGCCAAGGTTGACTACCCCTGCTGTAGAAGGTTGGACAAGAGGATCCTTGGGGTCATTTCCAACTCTGTGGCTTCAGGTACAGGTGTGATGTTCCCTTTCCCTTTTGAGCAAAGAGAAAACCACCTCCTATGGACAAGCCATAACTATGCCTCAGACTCAGAGGAACAAGTATGGGAAAGGCAAATATCTATTTCTAAAATACATCATATAAAAAAGAAGAAAAAAACACAGGGAAATCTGTTGCAAACATTCCCCAAGGAGAAAAAGTATGAAGAGAAAAGAAATTGAAAGACTTTTCCTGGTTAATGGAAACTCAAGCAATCCCAAAGGGACTGAGTACGAGTCAAGTAAATGTGGGTTATGACATTGTTTTACGGAAAATATGCTGGATCAATCCTGTCCTTTAAATGGAGCATAAAGGCCTGGCTTTTCTCCCAACCTCTGGGTTAGATGCAGGATGTGTCCCCCATGTGTCATTTATCACCTTTTTAAATTTGTTTTGTTCTATTTTAAGTTTTAAACTTGTATGCTGTTGAGAATTACTGTGAATTGGGTGGCTTTATAAATATGATTTATCAACCAATACATTTTATCCTGTTTTGACTATGTGGGGATGGGATAGGGAACATGAATCCACAACTGATTTATTTGGCAGTGTATGTATAAAGATATACGGAATTACAAGAAAAATCAACCAAGTTTGGGATTATATATTAATGTATATTAGGAGATTGATAGGAAAATCTTTAAATGTTAAAAGATATTGATGTAATGTTGAATTCTGTACCACAGCTGTGGAATTTGACTATTTATCAAAAATTGTGGTTATACTGAGCATGGAAGGGGGAAGATGGCAAAACTAATTATATTAAGAAATTGGAAAAATGATATTATTCTAGATGTCAAGGAATGGTTGTAGGAACTGTCTCATCTGTTTTGGAAACGTCAACATTTTCTACCAATCAAAGGATGCAGCAATATGTAATATTATAGCAAAAATTTTAATCATATCTTACAGTAATATCTTGTATTGTTTATATTATTAGTGAATTCATTGGTTAACCAATGATCATTGATAAGTCTAAATTATAAGACAGACTTTTTCCTTCTTAGTTTGTATCTTTAATTTTTTTTTAAGTTTTAAAGTTTTTTATATAATTATTGTTTGTTACAAAAAAAAACAGAGAAAAAAACAAGCAGGTAAAGTCAATGCTGATGTTGCTCTCAAGCAACTCTTTTAAAAAAAGGAAATTATAGTATTTTAAGATAGGAAAAACTAGTCAGCATCTCCATATTTTCCTGGAACTATGGATAACATATACTGTAGCTAGTGAAGCTGTTTTCAATAGCCATAAGAGAGTCTTCAATTGCATTCAGTACATGGATCATTTGACATCAAAATGATTTGATTGTTGTCTACATTGGAAAGGGGAACCATTGTCAATCAAAAATATTTGTTTTTAATACAAGATAAGGAGATTGCCCAACAAGATTGATTTTTTGATTATCTGACTAATACTTTCCATTATGCACGATACCTAGAAAACCTTGGTTTTTAGGCAGTGGCAACTGATTCACTCTTCAGGGCTCTTTTTATATTACATGTAATTGGTTCAATTGGCCTTAATAGAAAATGTCTCTATTTTGTCTTGATAATCTCCCTGGTCTCAAGCAAGCTAATTATAGTTTGCTGATGCATCAGAAGTTCTGTGCGTTGAAGCATCTATAAAATCTGGAACTGGAAAACAGGAAGGGAATCCCCTGAGAAAGCTTGTAAAACCCACAAGCAAAGCTGGTTCCCACAACTTCTGTCTGTCTGTCTGTCTGTCTGTCTGTCTGTCTGTCTGTCTGTCTGTCTGTCTGTCTGTCTGTCTGTCTGTCTGTCTGTCTGTCTGTCTGTCTGTCTGTCTTGGGGTTTATGTGTGCATTTAAAAGCTACACACAGTATTTTAAGGCAAGCAGCTAGGGCCATGTTGAAGTTCATCTTCCAGAATTGCACATAAGGCTGTGTTAATCAGAACAGTAGCCCAATCTGGTTCCCAGATTTGAGTACAGAGTGATCCCCAAATTTAAGAACTCTGTTTTCAAGAGTTGTTATTCTCTCATGGGCGTGAAGAGAGGGAAAAGTCTATCATTGGTCAACACAACAGCCTATTTTAATGCATGAGCCTTCCTATGGTTCATTGGCTAATGGAAAGGCAGAGATGGAGCGAAAATATCACTGGGTCAAAGCAGAAACCCAGTAAAACAAAGTACACTCATCTTTTACCTAAGAGGATTTAAAATAACCAAAGAGAATTAGAGCCCCATGACTGGGGATCAGGTCATAAATGTATTGCCATAACTAAGGATGCTTAGTTGACTTTCTGGCAATGTCATATTCAATTGCACACAAGTCTCTAGGACTTTCGTATATCTTCATTGGATGTTTCCATAACCAATCCCCTTTCAGCCCTTTTTCCTCCTCCTCCTCCTCCTCCTCCTCCTCCTCCTCCTCCTCCCACTCACATCTGGGAGCTAGCTGCTGGCCGCGGCTCCTCCACATACAGCTCTGCGGTGCACTCAGCTCGGCCGTGCTTGTTGCTGGCACTCACCCCGTACTGACCCTCATCCTCGGAGCTCACATGCAGGATGACCAGAGAGTGGAGTCCCCCATCTTGCTGTATACGCATGGTTTCCCCCTCTTGTACAGGCTGGCCTACATCAGACACATGACAGTCAGAGTCTGACCCAAAAGGGAGGAGAAGAAACAGATGGGTACCAATTTACAGTATATGAAAGTTAAAACCTAGCATTCAGGGCCCATGGGGGAAGATAATAAAATATAGCTCTCTAGGTCTTGGACCATAATTAAGACCACTGGCAGAATACAGCAAAAAGAATCTTCTTGTTCTCTTTCCACAACCTTGAGGGATAGAGAGCTATATTAAACTTTATGGCATGGCAGCAACCATATTTTTTCGGCAACTACTGTCATAGTCAGTGAGTGAACATGTTCTCATTAGTCATAATCATTAACATAGTCAGTGAGTGAACATGTTCTAATTACCAAGTCATTAACAGGTGACTTACCACCCCAGAACAGAGGCCAAGCTTTGCTGAGAAATGGCTACGCCGAAAGGCCACTGCAAAGAGACATGTTAACAGTGAAGGGAAGGCTGCAAGATGTGGATATGGGTAGTATGGAGACTTGTGATCTCAGTAGATTCTGGGGGGATTCAGGCTCAGTGATGTCTGTTTACTGAAGTCAGGGCATTTTTTCTTAACAGATACATTTGATCACTAGGACAGGGCTTTTCAACCTTTTCACCCATTGTACCACTTTTAGGATATGGCAACATCCGAGTACCACCAGTCGCCTAGCAAGGTGTCAAAAACTTGATGACCAAAAAAAAAAAGGAAAAAAGTGATAACGTACAGATAGTCCTCGACTTACAACAGTTCGCTTAGTGACTGTTCGAAGTTACAATGGCACTGAAAAAAGTGCTCCCCAAGCCACAGCCGAGCAAGACACCTGCCTGCCTGCTCAGTGGCGCTCTTCCTCCTGTCCGAGGTTTTCACTGTTGTGAGCATTTCTGTTGAGGATTGGCAGTGGGGGTGGGGTGGGGTGGTGTTTGGTTTTTATTCCCACTGTCTACTGGGTGGTTGCAGCAGGTTTTGGTCACTTCAGATAACCCTGGGACACTGTGACCATCAGAAATATGAATCAGTTGCCAAGCATCTGAATGTAAATCACAAGACCCTGGAGATGCTACAACATTCCAGCTGATTGGTGCTTCTTCAGGGCTCAGCAGAAGCACCAGGATCAGCGCCAAGCTCCAGCTGGAGCCTGGCGCTGATCCTGGCGCTTCCACTGAGCCCTGACAGCCCTGCAGCTCCAGCCATCTCTCGCTCAGGCTTGTGCGGTGCTGCCACCGGTTCAGCTCATTCCCCTCCCCCACTACCACTTTTCTAAGATGGTCGCATACCACCTGCCAGGTGCCAATGTACCACAGGTGGTACCCGTACCACTGGTTGAAAAGCCCTGCACTAGGAGACCAAAAACTGATTTCTGATGTGGCAGCTTATTGCAAGTCTGGCTGTTCTACAGATGTTCCCACAGCCTTTTGAAAGAGAATGATAAGATTTTGGCCTCCTGCCTCTTTACCACCATGCCCGGCCCAAGTAAGTGGACAACAATCCATATATATTGACACTCCCTCCATAGCCATGCCGCCTGATCTTAGCATATCTTGTAATCCAGTGTCTCTGAACTGCAGGGTGGAGACAATTACCAAAGTGGGTCCAAACGATGGTCGGTGGGGGTTCTCCACTGATCTTGCAGTCAAACCGTGCTGTTCGTCCTTCCACCACAGCCACAGATTCCAGTTTGCGGGTGAAGAGGGGATGGCGTGAAGGCCACACTGTTAGCTTGGCACTGCAGGTCAGCTCATCTGCAAAGCACAGTGGACAGTCAACAAAGAATCCACAGGAATTCATCTTTTTCTTGCCTTTAAAAGCTTTGGAACCTAGCAAGACTACAGGGCAAGGAAAGCAGCTTGCTATGCAGTTGGCTTTTCCTGGTCTTGAGATATATGAGTAAGCATGGAAAGATATTAGGAGGAAAAAAAGAGCCAGTTTGGTGTAGTGCTGAAGGTGCTGGCCTAGAAACCAAGAGACAATGAGTTTTAGTCCCATATTAGGTATGAAAGCCAGCTGGGTGACTTTCTCTCAGCTCAACTTACCTCAGCTCAACTCACCTCACAGAGGTTTATTGTGGAGAAAAAGAGGAAGAGGAAGGAGAATTATGTATGTTCATCACCTTGAGTTATTTGTAAAAGATATGAAAGGCAAGAACCTCTCCAAAAGGCGAGAATATCCAGAAAATGAAATGAAATTTTTACCCTTTCTGTACCCTTCTTAAATGTTGTTTCTTCCTCTGAATGCCAAATTCTTCTTGGAAATGGAACTCTAGAGATTGGCATTTTGGCCATGGGTCCACTCTTGTATTTTAAGTTATACTTTTCCTGACACATGAAATGAATTATCTGATAAATGTTGGCATGGCAGATTGTTAGTAAGGCCAGATCAGAACTAATTTCACGGCAAACCTGCCTGGAGCATTTCTCCCAATTCAGAGCAACTCTGCCTCCATTTCTACAGTAACAGAATCCATTCATCCGGTTGTATAGAAAGGCATAAAGTTTGCCAGATCCCTTCCAGCTTTCTGCTTTACAAGATTTCCCCCCTCAGTCTGGGAATCAAATGTAAATAACGTGTAAATTTTCTCCTCTAAGAATGTTACAGCCACCACTACCAAAGCAAACTTGTTTATTTAAATGATTTCATAATATTACTTTTAATATGTAATCCCTAACTGAATTTATGTATACCTGGGGTGGTCTGCATCAAAGTATAATGTTACAATAAAAATCAACCTACTACAAAGCTGCTATAGCTTGTCACAAGATGAAGGAACTTTGAAACACGATTTTTAGTATTTGCTTTGTTTTCTCATGCTGTATTGCTCCAATAATCTGTGAAACATATTTGACCAGGGGCAAAATCAGCATGGAATGTAGTATTATTTGCAAACCATTTTGAACTTCCTATAAAATCTACAGATGCTTTTCAGTTTGAAAAGCTCTGGATGCAATCACACTTCTGCAATACACTAAGCAACTACAGTACATAGGAGATAAAGATTCCTAAGAGGCAATTTAGATGCTATTTTTTTTAGTATTTTGTTTTATTATTGATCTGAACCTCTGTGAGTATGTGCCATGTATCAGACTAGAAGACATGTGAAGACAAGCTTTTTCAGTGGTGACCTACATGTTTATGGACATATCAGCTTCCCAAAGGAATGTGCATCTGATTCCAGTCTTGTTTTCAATCCATTTAATTGTTTGGTGCATTTTATTTAGGTTGTTTAGCTAAGCTACGTGTTTTATACTGCTGCTTTAGTTCATGACCTTACATAGTCTGTGTGCATGTACATTTTAGTATATTTGATTGTAAGTTGTCTTATGATGATTTTGGCTTCTAAAAAGGGGAATGATAATGGTTTTAAAAAAGCAGAAATAAGCAAGAGTGCAAAATCATTTCAAAATAGTGCTTTCACTCCAACATTTTACAATGAAATAAAAAGTTGCCAGAAAAATACACCTTGAACTCTATTTCACAGAGCTTCTAATCAAGATGTTCTGTCTACTTTTTGCTTCCCAACTGATTTACTGCCAGGAAGGAGAGATACTGTACATAATTTCCTTCTTAGAGGGGAGGAGGTTAGGCTTCTTGCATATGTATATTTGTTTTTAGCTAGATTTGGGCATGGGTGCATTGGAAGACCAAAATACAGTCAGCACAAACTCTAGATTCTGATAATAGCAGCAACTGATTGGTCTTGGCTATTTTTTTTTTTTTTTTAAATCCCAGAGTTGTGAACTAGAATGGGAGGTTGACGAAGAAGTGTGAAGAAGGAGACAGCAAGCTACTTTCCCACTAAGAAAAACGATAGATGTGCTCCTGGAATCACTAAGACTTAAGCACAAGTCAAAAGGGACATTGTTTTACCTTCAGTGTAAGCCAGTGAACTACAAAAGTCAAATGATTCCTTGTACAAATATGTGCTCAGGAATTTAGCCTCAGAAATAATAATCTAAACATCAATTAATAAATTTAGTTCTGGCTATGGGAATCATTTTACTTTTCTCTTTTCTCAGTTTAACCCCTTTTTTCATTTTGTAAACAAATGTCAAGGACTACCTGCATCACAAAGATGGGGCTTTCCAGCTGTTGCTAAACTGTTCCCAGCTCCAATTCCCCACCCTTGCAGCACAATCTTTCACAATGTGCCCTGTCTACATCCATCAAACCACAGCTCAAACACTGTAAAGTAAGGAATGGGATTATACGCTCCAGCATGACTGGAGGGGATTTGGTTTTTTACCACCCTGCTGACTGAGCTTCTTTCTTTGCCCACACTCACAAGCTCCTCCTCCTCTGCAGTCCTTGCTACTTATTATTGGCATTTCAAAGCTGATGTTTGTATCTGTGGGTGTGTTTTAAACCATCACTGTTGCCACCTGGGAGTAAGCTTGCTACCTGACAGAAAGGGGAGAGAAACAAACCAGCCCGGCTTGCTCTCATGCTTTTATAATGAAAATTTGAAGTGGAAAATCAACATTGACACTTTTTAAAAATAAAATTAAGAAACAACATTGGTTTATCAGACAGATGGAAAAGACAGGTTTAGTGACTAGATGAGAAGTTAACACCTCAACCCCCAAGTGTTCTATCTATGGCTTATTTTAGGGATAAGATTAATATCTCAAAAGTTGCAGGGTTCTTGGGGTTTTGCTTAGTATGTTATGTGAACACAATCACTGATTTGTAAACTATGATTTGTGACTTACAAGAATTACACGTCGAAGAGGCATAACCTCAGTTACATTTATTGTGTGAACCCAATTGACAAATCACGATTACGTCAGTTTGCCTTAAGTTCAGTGTGTGAACCCAGATCCTTTCTCCTATGTCAGTGATGGCGAACCTTTTAGAGACCGAGTGCCCAAACTGCAACCCCAAACCCACTTATGCATCGTCAGGTGCCGGGTGGGTGTGGCCCATTGGCTGGGCGTGGCTGCGGTGGTAACAGCAGACTGGGTGGGACTAAAAAGTTAAATCAATCAATTCCAACTTTGCAAGATTTTTTTTTCCCGCAAGAAGTTGAAATTGACTGATTGATTGAACCTTTTTTTTTTTTTTTTGCACACGGTGGCAGAGACCTAAAGCAAAAAGGTTTTATAAAACCCAGCTGAAGGCCTAGGACTGGGGCGATGGCACGTGTGCCCACAGAAAGGGCTCTGAGTGTCACCTCTGGCACCCGTGCCACAGGTTCGCCACCACTGTCCTATGTCTTGACCTCTGCTTCCACAGCATTTCCACCATCCTTACCTTTAGCTGTGCTTAACTTGCACGTGTAGATACCACTGTCATCTTCATGCACAGAGGTAAGCAGCAGCTTGCACTTGCGCCCGTCAAAATGCATCTTGCACTGGAGCAGGGCAGGCTGCAGAAGGCGCCCCCGCCACAGCCAGTCCACATCCACATCCGGTGGGCCAGAAACCAGGCATTCGAAGATCGCTGCATCCCCAGCCCCCACCACCACGTCCTGCAGCGGGGTCAGCACCGCCAGGGAGTGTGTCTCAGGGTGCACTGGGAAGAAGGAGGGAACAGGAAGAGGAAATGGAAAAAGAGAGAAAGAGATGTGTCTCTGAGCAATGGAACCAAACGGGACAGGATGCAAAGGGTAAGGTGTGGAAAGCATGCAATGGATAGTTTATGGTTAAATTAAATTGCCACGTTGCTACAACCTTGTTGATCTGCGAAGTTAAAGCTTGGATTATCCTACCCTAGCTGGCAACTGTTACACACTGCTCTCATAAAGAAGTTAAATGCAAATCTGAATTTCAGAATTATTCTCTGGCCTCAGGTGCAGATCATTCACTTGCTACATTTCCAGGAATTCTGAATGTCTGTTCTTCCAAATCATAAGGGAGACAGAAATTTATGATCCTGCGTTCTTTCAAGGCAGGGAAAACAACTGTCATCCCCCCCCCCCCTTTGCAGATGACCTTAGATGTTCAAAATGCAAAGGAACAGGAAGCATGTACAACCCAGCAGCCCTTTTCTTCCTATATCCTAAATATCACAATACCTCACAAAAGGAAAATGTTATCAGTTTTCCAGTGAAGCCTTTCCTGAGCCAAGAGGAAACAACTAACTTACAAATTTCAAAACTGGAAGATTTAGAGCAAAACAGAGCAACGTTTTATCTGTGTATGTACTCTATTTTCAATATCTCCGTTCAACGCTATGAACAAGGCTTGTTTCTCCTTTCTAAAAATGAACAGATTGTGTTCAGCTGTGGAAAAGCAGCACAGTTATTTATTTAGATCGGTATTTCTACCCCGCCCTTCAGATGCAAACAGACTAGTTAAGAATGGTTTTCTCCTAGTGTAGCTGGCAACTCATTAACCACTGCAACAAAACTTGAATGGAGACAAAGCGATCATCATCCAAGGCAAACTCAATCTGAATGGGAAACCATGATGGGGTATGGAGAACACAAGAGCATGATATGGAATAAGAAAGGGACGTGGGGAGAAGGGAAACAAGGATCTATGCTAAGAACAAACCACACAGTACTTTTACCAAACAAACAGACTTTATTTCATCTACAAAAAGAGGATTCTCTATAGCCCAGTTCCTGTGAGATACTCCCAGAGTGGGAGCAGAATGATGGAAAGAGACAGCATCCTTGGCCTCCACTGAAGGTATCTGGAGATCAAAGTCTAGTGGCCTCCCTTTATTTCCAAAAACCCCTCTCCATTCTACATAGTTCTGGGCAAAAGGGTCTTTCCTGTTCACTTTATGTTTCCCAGAGGTCGTGGTTGGATAAAGATGCCGAACTAAGTGGCCTTCTAACTGAGGGGTCTTGGAGCTGAGGCATAACAATGTCCAGATGTGGCCTGTTCATTTCAAAGCTACCTCATTTTAATGTGTTGGCTCCATGGATGAGCAGAAGCCTCTTGAGAGACCAGCAGGGAAGAGGACAAGCTAGCATTCTGCTCTAAGCCCCCAGGAAGAGGAGTGGGCAAAGGCAGAGGAGGCAAGGAGACATGGACACATGAAGAAAACAGCACCACACACTGGCCATAGTGTAGGCCAGACAGCAGTGAAGGCCAGAATGGGCACTGTCCACCATCAGCACCTGGGTGGGAAATGCCTGTTACACAGGCATGCTGTCCACTTTTGAGATTCTGTGCCTAGCACAGACCATATGGAGATCCATCTGGATAAAAGCTCCCTGCCCAAACACTAAGGAGGTGCCACAGATTAATTCAGCTCATATAGCCACAGGGAGCTCAGAACTGCTCAGACAGCTAAAGGGAGCCCCCCCAACTACTTTCCCACCCGCTGTGTCCCATTCCCCTAGCTGCAACCAGGCTCTGCATCCAAGGTGAGTCTCAGCGCTGGCCATCCAGAAGCCAAGCCTTGCCAGCCTGGTTTGTTCAGTCGTGCCGGGAGTAGAGGCAACTGCCCAGGTTGTCTGGCTAGAGTGGCCCAGGGGCCAGGAGTACCTTAGCTCACTCTCCCTGTACAGACAAAAACACAGTCAGCAAGCGAAGGGTTAGTGTAGCATGATGGACATAAAACAAAAAGCACAGACAAATTCATACATGCTCAGTCTAAGCAAAAGATGGTCACCACAGCACAAACACATTTGTAGATACTGGCTGACAAAAGCAAATGCTTCAACACAAAGCAGTTGCACACATAAACTCTCACACCTATCTCACAGTATCATCTTCTTTGTAAAAATCAATCCCAAAGTGAAGCCGGGCAAAACAGTAGATTCCCCTACTGCTAGCTTGGAAAACATGTCATCGAGAAACTTTCTGCAGATCCAAATAGTGGGTCCAGTAAGCACTTTTGTTCAGGTACTTGTAAGAGAGCCTGCTTCTATTTTCCCAAGAGTGATGCAATGAATCAAGAGCAATGGGCTGTTACTCAGCAAAAAAAGACAGCAAGAAAATAGGTTAAAATAGACCAGGGAAATCCTCAAAGGGCAGCGGCTAATTTAATGTAGGAAGAGTTTCTATTTATTTACATTTCTATCCCACGTTTTTCATTTGGTTAATGACTCCAAAATGGAGATAGTGCAAACGCCAAATTTTCTTAATTGCTAGAAGAGTGCAGATCCAGCTCCTTTTTTGTTACACTGCTGTGGATCAGAGCTAAACCAAATATAGGATCGGGCAACTGAAACCAACCTTTTTTTTAGAAGCTATGAGAAAAGACAGACCTATGGTAGCTATGCATCACCCATTACACCCAATTTGGGGCTCCATGAAGATGATGCTCTATGAGGAGGATGGAAACATACTTAAGCACCTGATTCCTGATGAGTATTAACTGGAAGGAAGGAGGCAAACCCGGCATCCATCTCTTAAATAACAATAAATAAGTTGAACAGGGAAAAAAAATCCTGCTAAGTCGTGGGAAAATATGATGGGGATATGAGGTCAGGCAGATTATTATGTACCCTACTTCTTTTTTGCAAATGGAGCTCACTGATGTAGGAGGCATTATCAAAAGTGTCAATGAAAACTGGGAGACTAGGAGTTCTAGTCCTGCCTTATGCTTGAAGCCATTTGATGACTTGGGATCAAGCAATGACAAACTATGCCTGAAATCTTGCCAATAAAACTGCAGGGGCTATCCAGGCACTTGCCAGAAGTCAAAACCTCACTCGAAGGCACATACCCAAATGTTACATCACATGTGTAACAAATATAGAAATTGACCTATGAATAAAGTAATTCTTGCTTCAAATTTCCCTGTTGATAGCAAGCACAAACTCTTATGAAAAGAAGAAGACGCTAGTACCTCTAGACCTCCAAGTGCAATATGAGGGTGATCCTGAGGATTCTTCAAGGCTGTTGTGAAGATTACCAAAAGCTATTTTATCAAAGACCCTGAATATTCAAAACTTTTTATAAAGTTTATAAAATGTAATTACTTTTGTACTCCTGAGTGTTTTCTTGTTTTCATGTATTCCCCATCCTTGCCCTCAAGATGGCTTTAGTCCAGGGGTCTCCAACCTTGGCAACTTTTAAGACTTGCGGACTTCAACTCCCAGAATTCCTCAGCCAGTCAAGCTGGCTGAGGAATTCTGGGAGTTGAAGTCCACAAGTCTTAAAAGTTGCCAAGGTTGGGGACCTCTCCTTTAGTCAATGGCCATGAAGCAGCTCCTGGTGGCTAGAGAGATAGTACCAAGATTATGAGCAAACTGCAAGCATGTTCACATTGGGGGAGCGGGATGGTTGATGAGTGGAAGAAAGAAGCAGACATGCAGGTGGGGTCTCTGAGATCATCACATGACTGGCAAAGCATTACTATAATTCTCATGCTCTGGAATTCCCAAAGATACCTTGTATATCAAGCTTGGCTTCACACTGTTTGGTGCCATATTCATTTATGGCCTTGCAGGCATAATAGCCAGCATCTGTGCATTCCACCATGCGGATATGGAGGCAGAATGATCCATCCTCTTCTTCCACAGCAGAAATGCGCCGTCCGTATTTTACCGGATGTCTATTCTTCAACCTAGAGTTCAGAACAGAGAGTCTGAAAGCTTGCAGCGCTTAACATCGCCCACCTTCAAGAGACAATTCACACACTTGCTTTTCCATCACTGCATATCCAGAAGAATACTGCATATTTTGGTTCTGCCATATCCCTGTTTTGTTACATTTTGTTCTTATACTTCATTCAGGGCAATCCAAGCCAGAAGACTAGATGTTCATTTCTTTCTATTTCTTCTAGCCAACTTAATATATATCAGAGCTGAGACCACTATTTTAAAAAACAGGGTTAGGGTACCATTTGTGCCCCCTCTGGTAGCAGTCCAGATTCACATATTTCCAGGAGCACAAAACATTCACACCCTTTCCATCCACCTGCTGCATCTCACAAACATGGAGCAAAAGAGAAGGACCTCATTATGCTTCCATTATAAGGAACAATGGAAAACTAATGGGTTTGGCTTCTTTGATAAGGTGAAGCGGGGAAGAAAACAGATCAGATACCTGCATTACTGCTATTGCTGGCAGTGGAAATGCAACAAATTTGAATGCTAAAATGACTTTTTTTTGTGGCATTTTAACACCATTGCTGAATTTTACTGGCAACAGGGAATCCAAGATTACACTTTCTCAGGCTTATTCCTGTTCTAAAGACACTCCAAATCTTTTTTTTCCTTTCGCATTTCCACCATACAGATATAAATTAACCTTTCCCATTGTGAATTAGTGCCTCCTGGGAATGAAAAAACAATAACATAATTCTACAAACCTCTTAAAATATCACGTCAACTGACACCTTATATAACGGTTAATTAGTTGTGAAACACTGATGGATAGGTTGGGAGGAGGGAAAAAAGTATAAAGGCTTGCTTGGCTAAATGCCTGAAGGCAGCTGTTGTTTTGCAGGACGGGAGATACTCCCACCGCTGCCATCTTATCCATTAAGAACAGTGTCTGGAAGAGAGGACAGGAATACTTTTAAAATCATACTGAAACATGTAACCCCACTTACCAGTGCACAATGGGTTTGGGCTCTCCTTGCACCCGAATGCGCAGGACCACATCTTGTCCTTCCAGTACCGTCTGGTCACTTAGTGCTATCTACAAAAGAGAGCACCCAAGATCATGACAATTTTGAGTTCAAAAACTTCCTTCCTCCCATCCTTCTGGGGGAATATAAGGGGCTACAGCTTGTTTCTTGCCGCATGCAGCAAACAGACCCAGATTCTACTCCACTCACAATCCAGGGTATTGTTTACAGCCTTACACCCTTGGACGACTATTATCCAAGTAGGTCAAGGCTGCTGGCTTCTTTTCTTTGGTCTCATGCCATTTTCTAACCTCACCTCAAAACATGGTGCAGCCTTGAAGTTAAGGTCTGCGTGTGCCGCGGTCAGGCCACTCTCAGAGCGGGGTTGAACTTTCATAACAGGGTGGTGCTGAGGGGTGACCGACTCGGGGAACTCTTCCAAAGGGCTCAGGTACTCTTCATCTGAGGTGACAGGGCTGATGACTTCACGGCGGGGCATCAATCGGCTGTGGATCTCTGGGGGAGCTGGACAAAATCAGAAGAACGTAACAGTACAGATTGGGCAGAGCCCAGCAAAATAGGAGAAAACAGAGCCAACAGAGAGCCCAAACGAATCGCAGGCAACTGAGTCAGCCACATATAACAAGCAAAATCTAACTTCTTAAATGATATCCCATGGTATTATTCTCCCCCATCCCACAGTTCTGAGAATTAAGGTATCTTCCTGCCTTATTTTATCTTATGATTTAATTTAACTGTATCTTGCGATTTATGATTATTGTATTTTATGATTAAGATCATGATTTATGCACCGGAGACAAATTCCTTGTGTGTCCAATCACGCTCGGCCAATAAAGAATTCTATTCTAAAGAATTCTATTACTAAACCAGCATGCTTGGGAATGCAAACAAAGCAAATGAGGGACTATTTGCCTGCCTGGACTCTTTTTGAAGTAACTAGAGTAATAATGTTCCCACACAGAAAACAGGAATTCATCATATCAAGGATGATTACTTGCTTATATCATGGTTAATGATTACTCAGAAAGGGCAAATCTCTTCCTCTTTCTTACAGAAGTACTACCCTTCACAAAGATAACAGTAGCTTCTCACTGCTGAGTTAATGCTCCCCACTTTGGCAGAAAATTATACCGGGATGAAATTTGCCGCACCTATTGCTGATCTATATCTTGTCGCTACTGCTTCTGTCTCAAGGCACTACAATCCCCTGACTTCCCTCCATGAATAAAGGATTTTGCATCCTTTGAGCCTACTGTAAGGCAATGCTAGAATAAGGAGGGAAATACTATTGAGCTTCAATACAGCTAAAGACAACTTAAGGTTGTCTCATTCATGAAATCTGGATTTCAAAAGAGTATCAAGGGGGCACGACAAGAAACAAATACGTTGCTAGGGAATGTTTATACCATTCTTCAGTGCATGTGGGGAAAGCCCATAATCATACATACGAACAGGTTCTTCAAAAGTGTATTTTTCTTCAACCGTAAGAAAATTAAGGCATAATCTGCTCAGGTTTCATGCAGTGTCTTATTATATAAAAAAGTAAAATTGTGTGTCGTCCATAGTTCCCTATTTTACTCTGTGGGATACAATTATATTATTCACTCTTCCCACGTGAATTTCCCTACTTGACTATTTACCAGAGAGCTGTAATTGAGAGAAAGTCAGGAAGGCAGCCACAGTATACTGTTACAATCCCTCTTAACACAAACATTGGCCCGAAGAGCCTAGGCTAGATTGGCTTTGTTGCTTTTACTCTGTCCCTTTCCCAGGATGTTAGCTGCCAATTTTTTTTTTTACCTCTCTTCAAGCCCCATGGCAATCGTTCCCTTTCTTTCCTTTGAACTATTCCACTGGGTTTTAGGATGCAGTTGAGTATGCTGTAAGAAAAATGCCCACCTTCAAGCATCCCCACAGGCCATTGTACTGCTACAAAAAAACATTATCTCAACAAGACTATTTTCACTTCTATTAAAAGACGTCTACTGGTCGATGTGAAGCAGAACAACAAAATCAGAAATGTTATACAATATGCAATCCTCCCAGGCCTGGATGTTTCATAGCTGAGATGCTCACCTGTTGAAATACTACCTCACTGGAAAAGTAATCTTACCACATATGTACAAAAATTGTATTTCAGATAAAAAGCTGAAGCTAAACGGCCTCTCCGTATTTCATAAACAGGTAGGGGTTTTTTGCTAGACTATGACAGTACATTTAAACATGTCATTTCCTCCATCTTGATCCGTAAGTGATTACTGTAACATTTCCTAGTAAGACCTTTGTCTGAAGTAATAATAATAATAAAGTTGGAAGAGACCTTGGAGGTCATCTAGTCCAACCCCCTGCTCAGGCAGAAAACCCTATACCATTTCAGACAAATGGCTGTCCAGTCTCTTCTTAAAAACTTCTAGTGTTGGAGCATTCACCGCTTCTGGAGGCAGGTTGTTCCACTGGTTAAGTGATGAAGACCTTATGCAGACTTCATCCACATCACTTCAAATTTATCAATTCATTTTTTGTAAACAAATTCACAATCTCATCTGATTACTGACAGTTCAGAATACTAGTTAACAACCAGGAAATCTCCTCAACAAGGCAAGCTTCCTCAATCAGACCTAATTTCGTCAGCAGATGTGAGGACTACCAAGAATTGGGAGAAAGACCAATGTCCTAAATTCTTCCAAGCAATGTATTCGGGGAAGTGTACAATACTATCGTCCATTTTTACACATCACTTCAGACTTCACACCAGCAGAGTTGACCCACACTCAGTAGCCAACTGCAGAAGCTTCAAATACATGAGATTTTTAAAAGATTTTTTTATCTCACTTTTATTATTTTTTATGAATAACTCAAGGTGGCAAACATACCTAATACTCCTTCATCCTCCTGTTTTTCCCACAACATTATAAAATGTTGGGCTAAAGAGCGTGACAGGCCCAAGGTTACCCTGCTGGCTTTCAGGCCTAAGGCAGAACTAGAACTCACCATCTCCTGGTTTCTAAGCCAGCACCTTAATCATTACACCAAACTGGCTTTATTTATACAAAATAAACCAGACAGCTTAGTATAAAGTATAGGGATCAAGTATGTGTTTGTGTATGTATCTGGAGAGAAAGAGAGGTGTCAGAGACAGGGTTTAAATCGTAGGCCTTTTTTTCCCTACCTTTTTGCATTGTATTTTAGCTGTTATTTTATCAACTCAGGAGGTCAACATCCACAACAGTCTAGTCCAGGCCTTGTTGGTGTCAGTCCTTATGTATGGGTATAAAATGAGAAACAACTTCTAATGTAAATCTGATGTGGCTATAACGTCATGTGAAAATGTTGTCCTTTCAGAGCTACGTATATGAATTAGTCAACAGAATCTAATGTGATCAAATTACAATTTGGTATAAAAGTAGAAGTTTAGAACAAATGCAAAAATATGTAATTATAGAACTTGCCATAAGGCCTTCGCTATGCAAGAAACAACATAAGCACTGTCAACAATACCTTCTTGTAAAATATTTCAAAAGATACTACAGCCAACGCTTTCAGAGGTTTCCATTATTCATGGTTGGGTGGCGAAAAGAATTATGGCCAATCCATATCAGCAAAGAAAAAGATATCAGCCAAGAATAGGGCACTCCAATCTTGGATAACTAACATTATCTGTTCATGCTGGCAGCAGCATTTTTGGCGTGCTGTCCCTGAAAAGGGCCAAGGTGACATTAATAGTTTGGACAATGAAAGCTTGTACTAAACTGGTTGGGCAGAGGAGGAATAGTTCTGATCCTGAACTTGATGGGGGAAACCAGTATAGTGGATATAGTTGGGGGCATCAGACCAAGAGAAAGCAGAATATCGTGATACTCCATGGTACTACTATCCAATGCTGCCCTATAAAAACAATTGGGAATTATTTAAAACAAATATTATTTATAGGGGCAGAGGAACAAAGAGGAGCAAATATACTGATTCTACCTAAGATCCAAAAACTATATGACTTCTCAACTCTTTATTAAAACTGACTAGCAATCAGAGCATTTTCCTCAGATTACCCCCTTGTGACTTGGAGAAGTTGTGCTGTAATTTCCTTCATCACTACAAGGTAAAAAGATTGGACTGCAAATCTCTCACAATTTGATGTACCCCAGCAGCAGGTGAAGATAATCAGTTCGCAAAATAAACTAAACCCTAAAGTTGAGATAAATTAGAAACCATAATTCATCGAATACGCCTTGCCCACAAAAGGTATATCTTGGCTTAACGTGATAGCCATGTTTAAACAACAATATACTAAGGTAACATATTCTGTTCCAAAAACCTAGCCTACTTTAACCTAGCCTAGAACACCACCTCTATGTGGTGTTCTAGGTCGAATATACTACCTTATTACTGAAGGTTTTGGAAATTCACTACGGTGGGTTTTTGCTAATAGATATGCGTTTTGCTACCACACATTCCTCACAATTCCCCTTCGTCCAGATGACTGCAAAGGTATAATGAAAACAAAATAAATCCTCCTTCGCTCCTTCCCCTACTTCCTAAATCCACTTTCGGTGAATAAATTCCAGCTCCAAATTAACCTCACGATTGCCATGCTATGCAAACATACCTGAAGTTAAACGCCATTTAACCCAGCGGATCTTACTTTTGTGAAAACGAGCACAGGATCGCGCTGCGGCGAGAGCATCGGGAAGGGACGGCGCGTCCCTCCTGCGCCTGCCATCCCCGCAGCAAGCGGACTCTTGCAGACATCGCCGCTGTGCGATTGCTTTGAACCGAAGCCCCGCTTCGAGCTGAAGCCCCGGCTCTCTTTATAGGGGATCTCCGCCACGAGGGGAGAAACGGATCCGGCTAACAGGGTGGAGGAGAGACGCCAGAGCCGGGCCGGCAGCCAGCGCGCAAACCCCTTCCCTTTTGCTCCTCGGCCGAGGGCGGCGTCCGCGCTCCAGACAACCAGCCCAGCCCCGCTGGTCCCCTCTCTCACATTTCGGACCAATCCACGGAAGGGCTGATTGGCATCCTTTCACAAAGTTTACTCGCACGTGCCCAGGAACCGCAACTCTCCGCCCTGCCCTGTAGAATTGGCGCGATAAAGACGCAGGCCAAGATATAGCGATCGCCGCCCCTCCCGATCCCGCCACCTCTGCTCTGTTGGAGCCGGTCGTCTCTTCCTTCTCTCTTCCAAGCCTGCTGGCTGTTCGTCAGACAGGCTGGCCTAAACCGAGCCTTGTAGGGTAAAGGCAGCCTCATGCCTCGTTATTCAGCGGGAGCAGAAATGCTGGCCTAAGCGGCCCCATCCAGGACACTGAGAATCAAGCCTGACGCTGCTTCTCACATGCTCGTGTGGGAATATGAACCTCTTAACTCCTCTGGCCTTAAGACACCGGCCTGGCTGCAGCCTCCATGGCAGACTGGCTGCTCTGGCACCTTCCCCACCCCCTTTGCCCTTACCTGGCCGCACAGTTAAGATGGCACTGCAGCAGGTCTCAGCCACCTCGTTGCTAGCACAGACAGTATAGAGACCGGCATCAGCCATGCGGGCACTCCTAACCAGCAGAGTGTGGCGTTCGCCCTCCGCTTTGATGGGACGAGTCGTGCTGCTCCGAAAGGGGATGCCATCTTTCCTCCAAGACACTGCAGAAAAGACCATAGTCAGGGGGAGATGTGGTATGTGGAAATCTAGTGATTATTCTGCATTTGTCAAAACAGTATTAGTTGTGTAAGAACCGTTGGTTATGAAATCACATATAGTTCTGCCTTCCCTACATTTCATCAAGAGACAAGACTATACGTTTATCTTCTGTCTTTTTCCTAGAACATTTCCACGTCCTCATGAAGGTGGTGTCACAGAACATAATTTTTGTTGAGGGCCACGTTGTAGACTTTGTGGAGGAATGCGGAAAGCTGAACTTGAATGAGGCAAGTGGAAAAGTAGAATGGATCAAAACATAAAGTAGGGGTGCAAGAATGTAAAACATGTTTTAATCCGTTTTTCATCAGTTCATAACCTGCTGAGTTTAATAGATATCAACAACAGCAGCGTATTGCTGCCAGATAAATAACCCTTGCCACAGGTTTGGGTGTGCGCTTCTCTCAGCAGGTTACTTTTTATAAGGATAGTGCTCTTTTGAAATAATAATTTACTGAATTTTTATTTTGAGGGAAAACTAAGTATTCCAGGAATGAAGCCCAACAGACAAAGTCCGGTATTTTCCATATGTAAGGTGAAGCATTATTGGAAGTAGATCAGAAATGTAGGTAAAATAAAAATAGAAAAACGTGTCATGTTCCTAAGCAGGATTTATCAATGCAAATTGGACAATATAAAAATCATGGTTGAATTAACATAGTATTTCTTATACCTATGGGAAGAGACAACTCTGGGCATGAAACAATCGGAGAGCTAGGAGTCTCCAGACTCCACAGATTCTCATGATTTGTTCTGACCCCTATGCATTTACCTTGTGGAGAAGGGTTGCCCGTGACGATGCATTTGAACAGCACCTCAGTCCCAGCTATGACAACTACATCATGGATGGGGATTTCAAAAATGGGAGCCTCCAGGGGATCTTCACCCGCTGAAATGTAGGAGTCATCAGAAGATTCTGCACAAAATGATGGAGAAACAGCAATTACTAGAAGACCTGCAAGGAGGAGGGCTAAGAGTCTGCAGACAGGTCTTGCGCTCCCCTTGCATGAGGAATGTATTAAAGCGTAGCATCTTTTCACTATAAGGAAGATAAAGGACTGCTTCCAAAATAAAATCCTGAGGGAATCCTTATTTTTGCTGGCATAGATGCTCAAAGCCCTTAATCTCCTTCAATATGTCTCCAGTTTTTGAATCACAGTTCTTGATATGATGCTATCCTCCTGTAACCACTAAGTCCTCAAAAGCAATAAAGCTGGCTTATCACATTCTAAGTTACATATAACTTTTTAATTATGTGGAAAGGCATACAATCATTTGCAGTGCTATATATTAGTGCAGGGATGTCAAACTGCCAGCCTGTGGGCCGGATGTGTCACACAAAACCGCGCCCACCCCATTGCCGGCAATGGGAAAAAAGTTGCGATACGTCATGACACATTACGTGACGACTGTGAGTTTGACACCTGTGTATTAGTGTATAAAATAGAGAAGAAGGCAAAGAAAATGATTCAGTCTGGAAATATAAAATTACTGATCTATAATATTGTTACCATATTTCTTGAAGCCAATTGATTCACAGTGGCTACACCTCTATACTGTACAGCAACGGACCCCAACCTTTGTGGCTTGGTGGCCTGACTGGGGGGGAGGAGAGGGGAACTGGGCCATGCACACGCTCTGGCCAGCTACTCATGCGACCCAATTCTGAATAGGCCATGGCCTGATAGTGGGCCACAGCCTGGGAGTTGGGGACCAATGCTATACAGTACTTTTCCCCCCCTGCTTTTGCTTCCACCCCCCCACACACACATACACAATTGATGAGTTGTGTTCCGATTCAGAGCTCTTAGTCCTCTTACCATTTTGAGCAACAATTTCTACTATTTTCCTAAATCTGAATTATAATTAGCAATAACAGGAAATAACTAAAAGAACCTAGCATGACACAAACTTTTTCACCTTCACTCACACAAGGACATTAAGAGGCTTGCCAGCAAAACTCTCATTTTAAAACAAACAGCTGAAGTGCAATCGGGCTCAAGCTTGACATAGGCAGCTAAAAACGAGGGAGTATTGTTTAAGTATACAAATCTATATAGAGAACCCGAAGAGGTAGACAGATGGGAAAGTGAAAAAATGAGGGAGGGAAGAGATGAGAACATGTCCTCAGCATTTACTAATTCTTTTTGCAAGAGCATCCTAGGTACCTAGGATGCCATGAATTCAGTTCTGCAGAACCCAGGGCCTCTTCATGTTGTGTGGGAAAATGAGCCATTTCTGCATGGCTTTGTCAGGTTCCTTCCCAATAGACCCACAAAACGTATTCCCTACCTGGTTCTGGTGAGATTTGTCGGGACCGTCGGCCTTTGCCTCTGCTCCGTGCACTCTTCCCTTCTTGAGGTTGCAATGCATTGTCTTTTTTTTCTGTCACTTTTCCAATCTTTCTGTCGAATTCTCTGCTTGTACCATGGATCCCTGCTTTGCTTCTGTCTGGGCCAGTTTCTGTCTTGGCCCAAGGCAGAGAATGTCCATCCTGTCCTGATTCCCGTTTCCGGCCATGTGAAGCTTCACTTAGACCCTTTGATTCATAGCTGACTTTTGCTGCATTCAGAGGCCCTTTATCTGTGCTATCCTGGCTATTTAAAGCTGATACATGCAGCACGTTTTTCTGTCCCCCTGGAGCAGCACGGGAGAGTGGACACTGCTCCACTTTCTGCCGCAGATCTTGGCCATTCAGTTCTGTTTCCTTTTGACCTCTGTTCTGTTCTCCTACCTCCTCAGTCATGGCTGCACTCCTCGACAGAATCTTTGGGGGTTTTTTGGGCTCATCCCTATGTCCCACTAGTCCCACACTGGACAGAACCAGCTGCTGTACACCATGTGCATTTTCTGTAGCTGGGAAAACTTTCATTGGTTTAAGTTTCCGTGGCGGTGGAACCTTGGGGACAGATGACTCTATGGAGGTAATTGCAGTGGGTGACTTGAACAATTCTTGGGATCGCCGCAGCTGCTGTTGAGACACGGTGCGTTTGATGCGCCCCAGTTCCTCAGTAAACTTTTGTTCCATATCATGTACATGACTGGAGAAGCGGCCGCGCTCATCCAAAGAGGCTGCTTTCTGATGGAAGATATGACGCCGAGAAAATACATCTCCAAATTCTGAACGAGAATCCTCTTGAAGGTCTTCGTGAGAGCCAACCGAGAGGAAGGGACTGGCATCATCAAAACCAGCCTGATCAAAAGAACGTGACTTGCGTAAGGGTTGCCATGTGTGACCTGCAAAAGGATTGTCATTCTGCTCCAGACTTTTCCGTCGCTCTTCAAAAAATTTGAGCTTGTCGACAATCTTGGAGCCTGACCGTGGCAGCTTGGGGGATGGGCGAAGGACAGACACACGACTGGAAGCCTCACTCAGTGGTGTCTGGGGCCGTGACTCTCCTGTGCCAACCTGAGAGTAGCCAGATGATTTAGGGCGCTTCAACTTCTCATCAAATTCCTCAGATGCCGTGTCCTGGAATTCATTGGGCATCAAGAGTTTTCTTCGAGGAACCACAGGTGGTGTGGTACCATGGCTGGTTCCAGGTGGCTGGACTGGGCATTGCCCTGCTCGGGGGGTTACTGGGCGTTGGAGAATATCTGTGCTGGTTTTGCTGCTGCTATTGACATCATCCCTCCGATATCCACCATGGGGGAGGCTGCTGTGGTTGGAAAATAAGATAAGGTAAAGTTTGCTAAGGCAGGAGATCCTAAGAAATCGAGGGAAATGAGCAAAAAGGATCAGATACTTATAGGAACAATGAACTGTGATCATGAGGATCAGGGCTTGCAGTGACACCTGGGTTCAAATTACCTAGGTGAAAGAGAAAAAGGGCAAAGGAAATTGTCACTTCATTGAGAAGAAAAAGAGCCGTGACCATATCTTACCTGAATACATTAACCTATACTGAAATGTTAGTTCTGTGAGAATTTGTTTTTTTACAGCATCAGTGTGGCTTTGGAGTCATTTAAATGTTAAGTTTTTGCTTCAGATTCAGTCCTGTAAAGCTGCTTTGGTGCACAGGAAGAGGTGGATTCAGTACCTATCTGCAACTCTATAAAAGAACTGTCTTTTCCTGACTTGTAAGATTCCAGAAAAAGATGCAATAGATTTAACAAATTTCAGGCAGATGCCTGTACCTTTACCCACAACTTTTTAGAAATGACTAACTAACACTACACAGCCCTAATAAGTATGTATAAAAAAGGACACACTTATCTGGCTTCTTCTATATCACATAGTTTAGCCAGGTAATGTGAGTCTCCAAGGTCTATTCCTTCCACATTTAACATCCTGTAATTTGTATTAAATAAAGATAGGTTATGCTTTCTAACCAAAGTTTTTGTTCCCAAGCTTGTTCTAACAAGATACTCATTTGGTCCCTCTTAGGTGGACAGTTAGAATAAACGATTTACACTACGTAGGTCAATCATAGGTTCAACCTTTTTTTATACCTTTAGTCGGTCAAGTCGTCACTATATAGTTCAATAACCCTCATTCCGACCCAACTCAACAAACCTTTCTCCCCTCTATATCCCTTCGGGAACGTCAGTCAGAAAGTCAACAGAAGGGAGGAGAATACACAGCTGCATCCCTTTCAAACATGGTTTTTTCTACAGACACAATTAATTCAATGGTACATACAAACAGACATTCATTGCAAAGTCATCTTAATATGTTCCAGGAAACTTAGGTACATTCAGATATGTACACAGAGTCAAACAAACAAGGACAATGGTGCATGTGTCTATGATATCACAGCGTTTTCTTCACTTTGTTATAACAGGCAGGCTCTATTGATGATAAGCACGAGGAAAAGGTGGGGAAAGCAACCTTAGGAAGGAAGAAGTGGCAAATGAAGGAGTCTTTCAGCATCATTTGTTCTTCTAGACACATCACTTAGTTCTACCCACAATTAGATTCTAACTATATTTTCACTGCTTCTGCAGTTCATCAGCTTTACTGTCATTTTCAGTATCCACTGAATCTCATTTTTCATTTTTAAGGGAAACAGCTGGCCACTTAGTTTCTTATTAGAGCATTGAAGAATAAAATATGTGGGCAGCACGTGCTAATAGCTCAGAAGTTAGAGGGAATCTTGAGGGGAAGAAATTTGGCCATCATAGCTCCATCTTAATGAACTCTTGATTTTGCTTCCTTGCCTTGCTACTTTTCTGACATTGTGTATAGATTTGTGTTTACCTATTTTCTTTATTTGTATCCTGCCTTTATTATTTTTACAAATAACTCAAGATGGCAAACATATTCAATACACCTTCCTCCTTCTATTTTTCCCCACAACAAGGCCCCTGTGATGTGAGTGGGGCTGAGACAGTGACTGGTTCAAAGTCACCCAACTGGTTTTCATGGCTAAGGTGGGACTTGAACTCATGGTCTGCCACTTTCTAGCCTGGTGCCTTAACCACTAGACTAGGGGTCTTCAAACTTGGCCCTTTTATGACTTGTGGACTTCAACTCCCAGAATTCCTCCCTTCTGGGAGTTGAAGTCCACAAGTCATAAAAGGCCAAGTTTGAAGATCCCTGCATTAGACCAAACTAGCTCACACAACTAACCTATGCTAACAATACTAAAATATCATGACTATTCAGGTTCATTGAGTCACATCTCTTAACTACCAGCAGTCAAACACTCTTCCTCACGCTGACACTTTTGAAAAAAAAGTGATGAGAGTCTACTTAGCTAAAGTTCATCAAAGACTTCTTTCTCAAAGTTTATAGAATTTCCTCTTGACTTCATTTAAGCCAAGGGTAGGCAATATGGTGTTTTCTGAGTGTTTTTGACTAGAACTCTCATCATATCTAAGTACTATACATACATCGATGCTTCTTGGAATGTAGTCCAAAATATCTAATGACCACTGTTCTCCAGGTCCACAAATCTTTAAGTCTGCGGTAACCCGTTTCTTTTACTTAGCTCAATAGAGCTCCTTACCGCATTGGATAAATTGGTGACGGCATTCTGAAAAACCTGAATAAGCAAAATTTTTGTTTTTGTACGTCAATATTCAGTGCAAATGTAAGCAGTTTCCCACAATATATTATCCAGTCAAAATTGGCCTTTCTAATCATATAAATGCAGCATCCTTAAAAGTGGAGCTCAAACCATTCAGTTACTTTCTGATTTGCTGGTATGAACGTTGACCCTCGAAATGGAAGTTGGCATATTAATCAGCAAAGCAACAGTAAGAATTGCTTTTATGATGTCAGATCCGGACAATGTTGTTTCATTCTCTCTGAGGTCTGTATCTGACTGTGATCTGAAAGCCAATCTTTAATATTGCTGTTAAATGATATTTAGAGAGCCAGTTTGATGTAGTGGTTAAGGCATCAGGCTAAAAAGTGGGAGGACATGAATCCTAGTCCCACTTTAGACATGAAGTCACCTGGATGATCTTGAGCCAGTCATTATGTGGCTCATCTGATGCCAGCTGCAAAGCACAGGCAATTTGCTGCAAACTATCAAGAAGTCCAGGCAGCTGGTCACCCTTCGTAAAACAGGATTGGCCTTCTCCTGGTACTTCAGGAGTGTTTGTAGGGCAGAGTAGCTGCATGCTGAAAGCCCCCAAAAGTTCATATCTCTCCACCATGCAATGAGAAAAATGTGCGTGTGTGTGTTTTTCTTACAAAGTTCTCTGTCCTTCCTTTCTCATCTCAATCCAAAAACAGTCATCTCTATTGAAGTGTGATTTTGCCAGAAGGAAACATGGATTTATAATACCTTTTATTTGCAGTGTCCTGGGTATATGCTCAAAATCAGCTGGGTGGTGGGAGTGTAAGGCTCGTGAATTCTATAAAATGATTTGATCGTGGATGAGAGGGCTAAGCCTATTATCAAAATCTGGTTGGGCGAGTGGGGTGCGCGTGGGGATGCTTGCAATCAGGCTGCATTCGTGTCTCTTGTAAAGCACCCTGGTTTAAAAAGTAACTCTAGGAGATGAAACAATACAACAGATATGTAGAACATTGCTGGTGGAAAACAAAGAGCAAATGCACTCCAACATAGAAGAGAGCCTTTATTAGGAATTATTTTGTGGCAGTAAGAGCAACAAAGAGGCCTCATTTCCCTTATTGCAGCCACAAATAACCAGCTAAGGGCCCTGTTTCAAGTGACCAGGTCCTTGTAGAAAGGGACCAGGAGAACCCCTGTGGGGCTGCTATGAGAGTTATTCTAAGCATCTTTTGGACTTTGCTTTAAGTTGGACTCAAGTTGGATGGATCCTGTGGGAATGACTTAGGCACATCTTTACTTAATTATCTGGGCAGAGGTTAGGCTAGTTGGTCCTAAGAAAGTAGATAGGGTCCTTGAAATTCTGAGCTCTCTCCCCTGTGTTATAATAATAATAATGATAAAGCTGGAAGGGACCTTGGAGGTCATCTAGTCCAACTCCCTGCTCAGGCTGGAAACCCTATACCATTTCAGACAAATGGCTGTCCAGTCTCTTCTTAAAAACTTCCAGTGTTGGAGCATTCACCGCTTCTGGAGGCAGGTTGTTCTACTGGTTAATTGTTCTAACTGCCAGGAAGTTTCTCCTTAGTTCTAGGTTGCTTCTCTCCTTGATTAGTTTCCATCCGTTGCTTCTTGTCCTGCCTTCAGGCGCTTTGGAGAATAGCTTGACTCCCTCTTCTTTGTGGCAGCCCCTGAGATATTGGAACACTGCTATCATGTCCCCCCTCATCCTTCTCTTCATTAAACTAGACATACCCAATTCCAGCAGCCTTTCCTTATATGCTTTAGCCTCCAGTCCCCTAATCATCTTTGTCGCTCTTCTCTGTACTCTTTCTAGAGTCTCAACATCTTTTTTACATCATGGTGACCAAAACTGGATGCAGTATTCCAAGTGTGGCCTTACCAAGGCATTGTAAAGTGGTATTAATACTTCACGTGATCTTGATTCTATCCCTCTGTTAATGCAGCCTAGCACTGTGTTGGCCTTTTTGGCAGCTGCAGCACACTGCTGGC